TTATTTGCTCTCTTTTGACTCAGTATTCAGAAAGAAGCATCTTGATTCTGACAAGTGACAGTAATTACAAAATGTACAAACCACATGGAGAAATGGATACTTTGTTGTAACTCATTTTACTCACATTGAAGATATTCTGAAGTACTCAAAATGTATTGAATGGAAGTTCAACACCATAAAAATTCAATGATAATTGCACATTTCTTATTAAGGTATATGTAATTTAAGGGCTATAAGTATGTTCATTACATAGATGTGTTATTTCAGAATATGAAGAGCTCATTCAGAACTCTACAATGCTGTGGACAATCTAGAAAAATATGACTTATTGAACCTAAAGACCTCTGGGCAATGTAGATTTCCATCAGAATTATAAAATCATCAAGGACACAGAGCCATAGTTGGTGATATCATAACAGCTGACCAATGTGATATATTTTGGTAGGAGTTTGGAGGCACAGTCCATACAACTTGAGTTTGAAAATGACAGAATAATAAAGTTGGAAAGGAATTTAGAGTTTATCAAATGCAATTCTTATATTTTATAATTAATCAAATTGAAGTCCTCCATGTTTAAGTGGCTTACATAATATTTTGAATTTAGTATGTTAGAATAAGTTTTGAGTTCTTTTCATCATGTACCTCTCCAAAGCTAGCGTGTACTCACATATTTGGTTCAAAGCACATTTATTGATTTTCTATTAACTCCCATCCTGTGATAAACTCTGGGCTAAAAGGAAGATCATTCTCTTTCCCTGAATGAATTTAGAATCTAACACAAGAAACAAAACTAACTTGCAGATAGAGATAATATAAGGCACATAGTAGAGAGAAGTGGGAGATAATTTCTTTTCTAGTTCAGAACTTTCATTACTCACCATTAATATTTCATTATCTTCATAGCTAACCACTCTGATCCCATCTTTTCCATTGTCTCTAGAATTATCTTTGTAAAATATGCAACTGAGTTTTATACAGCTAAGTTAGTGGTTGTGTGTGTTCTCGGCCACCTGTTAGATACCAGTTCTTTAGTACGCCATGACAATCCTGCCATGCCCTGCTTGTTAATCCTCATCCCTACTGCTCTCGCAGGACTCTCCTGACCCACCATCTCACACCTCACATTGTTCAGATTATGCCATTTCATTCTTCCCATTTGTCCATGTTAGTTACAGAGTTGTGTCTTTGCACTAACAGATTAGTTTAGTCAGATAAAGATCTTTCAAGGGTCTTGTTTTCAGTTTTTGAATCTAGGAAATGGTGTTTAATTACAAGTTCTCTAAGCTGTCCTTCTTGCACAAACATTCTAGGATCCTGTGACGAAGACTATGGCAGTTACAAGGACCCAGCACATAGGATATTTTTATCCATTAGTTCAGTTGGGGAATAATTTACTTACGAATGCAAACATAGACAATGACAGAATAGATCAGGAGATGTGTGTTATAATAAATGCATTTTTTTAAAGTGATTTCAGTGTGGTCTAGAAGTGGTCTTCGCACATCCCAGAAGACTAGAGTGCAATGACCAGCAATATGAAGCCACGCAATACTCTTTCTCTTGAACTATCAGGGCCTACCAGCAGTTGCCCTATAAAACATCTCCATTAGGACACTGCCAATATTTCTATAATGACCTGACACTTTATCTAGGTTGCCACAAAGGCCACCAAGTAAATAAGACACTAGGAGGTATGATCCAAAAGCTCTTAACCCAGCTAACAATTCCTATAGTTTTCTTTATTTCAGGATTTCCAAAATCACAAGTCCTCCTCCCCACTAACCTCCTTCTCTAGGCTATCCTTCCAAGTGCTTCTCTCTCTTTCTTTTTTTTTTTTCTTTAATTTTTTTTTGGGGGGGAAGTAGAAATGTGGCTGTGTTCTCCAAAGACCAGAATCCTTTACCTTTAAAAAACTGCTTGATTCTGAGGTCCCTGAAAATATTCCTCAGCCTAATTAATAGTTAATCAGTCACTAACTTATGATCCAGTGTTAGTGTCTTTGTGATTTACACCTAAGGAATGTAGCTCAGAGCTTTAACAACCTAGGGATACCTACACTTGCAGGTTATGAATAAAAACACCGCCCATAATTCCACTAAGTCTTACAGTATACTGTGATTAGTTTATTCAATCTACCATATAAAAATCTTCTTAGTTATACACATACATCTTATCAATTATTGATTTACAAGTGCTGAAGGTATGCACCTGTCACCATTTATGCACTAGGGTTTTATCATCTCCAAGGGAGTGACAATCTACTCTAGTGACACCATCTCTACTATTTAAAATTCTATAGCTTCCATCTGATTACCCCATTAACCATTATGTTTTCCAGGCTACAGATATTTTCAAGTAATTAAATGTCTCCCAACAGTCCTAGACCTTTGGCCATAGACTCCCACTTGCATTTGTAGTGGTAAACTCTGTGAGAAGCAGTTGTGAAAACTTGGGACTGAAGTGAGAACAGATGGCAACCACCTTAACCAACACAACCCAGTGGAGAAAGAAGTAGCACTCACAATCAGAGGGGAAGTCCAAACCTTTTGCTCCACATGTTCCCATTCCCCACTGACCTAAAATTCTTCATGTAATTAATCTCTTATTTTTTGATATATTCTCCTTCTTGAAAAGTTCATGATTTTCCATGGTTTCAACTTACATTGAAAGGTTAATGACAAACATCTGTCAACATCTTGCAGAGGCCCAAAACTCACACAGTTAAAAGCCATACTCTTTACCTTCCCTTCTATCCCCATCCCCTTAGCCTTACCAGTCATCAGATCTCAAAAACAAAAGAAAAATAATATTTCTGGAACCAGTTCAACTTGTGGTGATACGGACACATGGATCTGGAGACAAATGGCTTCGTATCACTTTGGTAAATTCACTTGAGTCTCTGGGACTTAAAGTCACTTAAGTCCCAATGTTCTTGTGTATGAAGCAGAGATAACTAGAATATTTACCTTATAGAATTATTTGGGCAATTAAAAGTATTAATACATTTAGCAGGCTTTGAATGCTGTGGGGCACATATTCAGCACTCAGTAACATCATCTGTTATGGTCTTTATCTGAGGTATTTCCTAGACTCTCTAAGTTCAGTTTATCCTGTTTAACCAGTCACCTATTCTCATGGAGTAAGGGTGGTATTCTAAAACATAGATGTGATCAAATTCCCTCTCCTCCCTCCATTCTGTTGTGTACTTCTAAGCTGTGGTAGATCTTCTAAGTGTTTTATCCAAAGCTTTGACACTCCATCCATCATTGTTAGAACATGATTTATTGCTTATATATTGTTCTTATCACAAATTCTAGGATCTTGGAGATAATGGGTGGAAAGCTAGTGGGAACGAAATGCCTTAACAATTGTCCCTGGGCATGGGTGCTGGAAGGAGACATAAATGAAGTCTCATACTCATGTCTCTCTGGCCATGATAAGTTTTGTATTCCTCGCTATAGCTCAGACTACGCTGAGCTGTTTTCCTTTTCTCACATGGAATTACATGTATTTTAGTCTGCCTCTCTCATCTGCTATGTAACTAACTGCAAAAGATAACTGTGATACATTTCTTAGAACTTCTTGAGCAATCAATTGAAATAATAGAAGCATTCTTAAGGATATAGGAGAAGTGTTTGCTTAAAGGTATGAAGAGTGGTAGAAAGGGGCAGTAACACTACTGAAGAATATATTGACTGTTTTCCACTTTTTCTTAATTTCTACCTTTGAGTTTAGTTATAAATAAGGTAGATTGCTAAACTTATAAAGCACTATTGGCTCTTAAAATAGCTTTATAAGGTAAACATGGAAGATATCATCCTCAATTAGTAAGTAGAAGAACTAAATTTCTAAGAGGTCAAATATATAAACTGACGAGGCTAGAAGTTCATAGAGATTAGAATAGAACTAAGTTCTTATCTTATGATCTAGGTACCTGGTGACTGATTGGTTTTCCATGGGCCCAAATAGGTACAGTTAAAACATATACACAGCAAACAGAAACTGGGACCATACCTGAGTTTATGCTAACAAGGTGACTCCTAGTGGATCTCTAGATAGTTTCTAGATGAAGGCTGCCATGCTGGAAAGACCATCCAGGGGATTAAGAGGTTTGGGTCTTTAAACCATACCATAGCTGCCCAGCCTCCCAACTATCAGGAAGGGAAGAGAAAGGCTAAAGATTTAATTAATCACTTGGCCAATGATTATAATAGAGATATCATCATAAGTGTCTGACACTTTCCTGAGTTCTGTGAATCATTGTAGTGAATTATCAAAGCAGAAGTGGTAGTGGAAACTGCCAACTGTGTAGCCATTTGGTTAGTAGAGTGGGTGATCTGGGACCCTTCAAACTTGTCTTATTAGTGTCTGATGTAAAGGCAGACTTAGTAAAGACTGTACCCTTAACATGTGAAATCTGAAGCCTGTGCTAACTCCAGATAGTTAATGTCAGAATTGCATTGAAATATTGCATGGGGTGATAAACTATGAAAAAGCAAAATTTTCTTTTTTATTTTTTTACAGATGAAGTAACTAAAGACAAGAGAGTTCAAGTAACTTGCCCAAAACTGTACAGCAAATACCAGTGAGCCAATAATTAATGCTAGGTTTTAATTCCATTGTTCTTATCACTGCTTTATGCTCTTAATCAATAATGTGTGATAGAATACAGAAGTTAAAGTCAGTAATATACAATCATTCCCTTCACTTGCATCTACCGCAGTGACCAGTATATGTTTGGACAAATAGAGTAGATAATCAATAAAAACATTGATTGAGTTCATGAACTGCTTAGTTAAATGCTTTTGCATAAAGAATTCTTGCCATGACTGTTATTGCATTTAGGTTGAGAGAACACATGTAAGTTGTAGAAAGACAAGGGAAAATGGGTGTAAGTCATTGGTAAATGTGGGAGCAGTCAATTTCCAATTTGTAGCCAAAATTGATTTTCTGGTGAGCTGAAAAACTTTTGGAAACACTTTGTGAGGCTGTCTCCCTATATGACTAAGCTTGTTTATGTATTTGTAAATGATGAAACTACATTTGGGTTATTTCTGAGAATGGTGTGCAGGATAAAAAACGTAGTGCTGTCTACTATGGCAAAAAACAAACAAACAACAAAAAAACCACTCACCTCAACCTGAGCATGTATGTCTCCATCTGAGCAGTGCACTGTGGGATTCCTCCTCATCAGGAAGGGGTTACTAAAATGAGATCACCTGCTTATTCATCAAAGAGAATTGAACTCTCTTCAGGTGGGATTGACATTGGTCCCAGTAGCCAGTTGGATTTGATTAGAACAAATCAAGCAGAAGTGAGAGGGGTCGTCATCTTATAAACAGGACTGTGTCCTTGAGACGTCTGATCCTCTGCTGAATCTATTCCTATGATGAACCGATAAGAACGTCATTTGAATTCACACAACCATTTTGCCCTTGGAGATGGAAAGAGCACCCCTGAGAAATGAGCTTCCAAAGAAAACCGTCTCAAGCAATTTCTCTTTTTTTCTATTTTTCTGTAGACTTCTTCAGATGCATATTTTCCTCCATTAATCTCAAATTTGTACAAATTAGCTGTATAATTATATACAGGCTGAACAATAGAATAATTTCTTTACTTCAGTCATGTATTTTCCCTTTGATAGCCTAGTTGCCAAATGAGCCCAAATCTATCATTTCTGAATATTTGTAAGACAGAGAATCTGAAAGGTTTGTAAGACAGAGAATCTGAAAGGTTTATTCTGATCATTAATCAGCCCCCTCCAAATAAGCTCAATTATAGCCTATAATCATTACTGTAATTATTGATTGATTAATCTTTCAACTATTAATTCAAAGTCTTAATTAAACTTTTTATGGTGTTATTTAAGCTAAAATATAATTATTATGCAATTTCCCTGGTAGATGCAACATGTCTTACTGGCCTTATGGTATAGTCATAGTCCACTAGTTATGAATCGCTCACTAGCAGAATCTGAAAATGAGTGAAATAATCTTCTCTATACCCATTTCCAAAACACACATGCATGTACATAGACACATTCAGGATCACTGGTAAAAACCTAAGAAGAATAGGCAATGTAGAATAAGTAAATTTAATAGAAGAATATTAGGATCATAGATAGAGGTATACTAAGTTTTCATGAACCTAATAGGCTAGAATCAGGACAAAGGCTGAAAAAGAAAAAATAAATTCACGAGATAGTCATAGTTTCCCATATACCACCCAGCTTTTCAGCTTTACCCATGTGTGTTTGCCAAAGAGAAACAGGTTTCAGCTGTTTGAAACTGCCACTGGGGGCCTAGTTTTGCAAGTTTGGCAGAAAAAAAAAAATGACAGAGAATAGAAAAGAAGAGTACCATGCAGTCAGAAAATGTCTATTTCCAAACACATTGAATTGTCCACCATTTCTATTCCTTTCAATAACCCTCAGGGAAAAAATTATGTCCATTTTATAGGTGGAGAAACCTAAAGAAGAAGGAGTCAAAATTAGAAGCCATACATATCAAACTTCTAATATAGCAACATTCTTGACACTCTTATAAGATGTCCAAAAAGAAAAGAACAAATTAGTATAATAAAAGATGATGGTTTGGGGATCGCATAGATGGGGCTCAGATATCAGAAGCTCCGTCAGTAGCTTGTGACCTAAGTCAAATAACAAAGACATTGGAGTCTGAGATTCCTTATCTGTAAATTGGGAATAAAATATACCTTAAAGGAATTTTTCAGGGCTGATTATAATGTATGGGACGTAATGTACTCTTAATGGCTAGTATAAGAGCTTTTCATAAATGCCAGACATCATGTGTCACTTGATGCACTTTTGCTGTAAAGTTATTAGATCTTCGTTTTATTCCTGTTCTGCTGCTGACCACCGTAGGACTTTTAGGAAGTGATTACACAACCACGGACTCCACCCTCCATCTCTGTATTTGGGTCTCATGGAATGTTACTATCTGAAACAATCTTAGACATTTTATAGACCAGCCCCTCATATCATGATGAGGACACCGAGGCCCAGAGAGTGTTAAGGCCATGCCTGTGGCTGCACTGCTAATTACTGACAGAATCAGGTCTCCAGGCTCCTGGTTCAGAGAGCTCTTTCCACCACTCCACATTGTCCCTCAAGCTAACATTTGTCTGACATTTTGTACAAGGTTGTCATAAGGATCAAATATGATTAAATATGGGAAAGTGATTTTAAAAGTGCAAAATTATGCACAAGAGCAAAGCATTACTATTAATGGGCTTCTTATATGGCTTTTTGGGGAACAAATGGAGATGTTATTTAAAGTGGCTTTAAAGTTGCTTTTCTCTTTCTTTTAGCTATGAAATGCTATAAAGTTGTGTTATGTTTTGCAACGAGAGTGCCAGGACTTGAACAAGAGCCAGTGGTGTGCATTCTACTTACACTCTGTGAAATTCTATCATGAATAGGATGTTTTCCTGATGTGATGATGCAAGTGCATATAGCTTCTTTGGGAAGCGATGTCAGGAAACTCCATGAAGACACTGGAGAAGTAAAACAGAAAAGGGGAAAAAAACACAATAAATGGTGTGTTATTAAGTGTGTTACTACTTTGGACAACTGTAGCTTCATTCTACTAGCAAAACTGGGAGTCAGCTTAAAGACTTTGGACCAGAGGTATGTCTCCCAAGGTGATAACCGGAGTATTTTTATACAGATTCCTGCCATTCCCTGGTTAAAGACATCTCATAAGAGGTATTAACTTCCCTGTACCTCTGACCCACCTTGCTCACATGGTTGACTAGGCATCTGTGGGCAGAGAAAACCCTGAGGCAAAGAGTTGCCACTGCTTTTAGTCCAAATCATTTTAGCTTGCTTGGAAAAATGTTGTCATGTTTGTAGACCACCATCCTTCAGTACCAACCATCTCTGTTACTGTGCTTCCATGCTTTTGAGGTGTTAGCAAACTCATGCATACAATATCTGCCATTACCTAGATCGAATCCAAGAGGGACTAATATAAATGGGATTGATTGGGGTATGAAAATAGTGGAAATGTTTGTGTCTGACAGGGAAGGCTGGAGGACTGTGTCTATTATTCACAGATCCTCAGGTTCCATGTTTTTCCTAAGTGAATACTGTGTCTCTTTAGATGAGTTGGTTGAGAGGGTTCAAATATAAGCTGAGAAAGAAGATATTATTACATTGCCACCAATAGATCTTTAGGATCCCTTTCCTCAGGGAACTCAATGCCTTCCCATTATTTTTAGCTATCAGAAACATCTCACTAGAGCTTCTGACCAGGGTTAGACTCTCTCTTTGGTGGCCCAAATCTTTTCAACATTTTCATCCCTTAATCTTTGTCTTTCAGTTAGCTCTTAGACATAATAACAATCTGAGAAATTTACTCATGTAAAGATGTAGTGCTAGGTAAGGATTTGTAATATTGTTCTTTCTAGGAGTTTGTGTGTTCTCATGGTAGATTTCTGGAGGTATGAAAAATGGAGCCAAAAAGGTATTGTTGAATGGTGGACTTCAGGCAATAAGCAAGGAACCAGCTATTCTGTCTGTGCCTAAAATAGTTTTGAGTAGCTATAGACAAATGTAGTCTGGAGACCATTATCCAGTGTACAGACTATTATCCAAGGTAGCCGATTAAGTAAAACATAGAGTTCATTACAAGTCACATTGCTCCCTAAATCTGGAATCCCACTTCCCTCTTGGGGAGTCGATTCTTGAAGATTCAATTCATCATCTCTTCATCAGATTGGCCTGAGAATAGTATCCCTCACTCATATACATTTGTGTTAAACATCTACAGCATATTTCAGACACTGTCCTTTTTTGTCATTGTTTTATGAGTAAGACTCTTACCTGAATAAACCAACTGCAATCTGCTTGAAAGCAAGAATTGTATTTTGTTTATTCTAAAATAGCATTGAGTCCTTATGATTTGTCAAGCCAAGGGAGTAGGTGAACATTTATTCACATTATCTCATTTGCCCTTGACAGCAGATTTGTGAGGTGACTATTAGTAAATAGATTTAGCTAAGAAAACAGGTTAAAGGAGATGAAAAGACTTGTTGCCATCTTTCCCTACTTTTTAAAGGATGTCCAGTGTACCTTGTAAATGCAGGTTGTAGAACATCATAAAACTTTGTGTCTTCTCCCACGAAGAGTCTCATGCTGTTTTCTACCCATTATACAAGCATCATGGACTTCTCATAGGGTATATAATCAAGTGTATGCACTGAAGTCCAAAATACCAAGCTTAAGACATTTCCTTGCCACTTACCAGCTCCATGCAAGTCTGACCCTCCATTTCATTGCCTGTAAAGTGAGCGGATGCTTCCTCTACCCCTCTCGTAAAGTTTTATAGACTCAAATAAAATAATGAATGTGGAAGCACTTACCATATTTAAGCACTTATCACGATTATTGTGACTATAAAAGTTTGGAGTCAGACATGGGGTTAAATACCTGCCAATAACTACCATTTATGCAAACTTGAGAAAATTACTTGCCTTTTCCTTGCCTTGATTTTTTTTATCTTTAAATAGGAATAACAGCACATGTTTTTCCAAAAAATTGTTTTGATGATTAAAAGGGATCATACTTGAAAAGCACCTATGACATGGTAAATATTGATAAATGCTAGCTGTTTGGTTATTGTGTTATTGTATTATTATTATACATTTTCAAGCAAATATATGCCATGATTATGGAATGTTATCAATGTAATTGAAATATATTGGGCTTTAGAGCTCCGTGAATTGATTTCCTATCCTAGTTCTGCAAACTAATTAATATAATACCAATGCACTCACCTTCCCAAACTATAAAAATAAAAATCATGGGGCACCTCACAGGGTTTCTATGAGTGTTAAATGAGATAATATATATAAGTATGTAGAGAAAAATCTGGTATTTCATTGGCATTCAAAAGTAGAATCATTTTACCTTCCCATATTTTAGCGATGAGTTGATTTTATATGCCATGAAAATTTTCAAGTAGCATTACCAATATTTTTCTATGAAGTTATAATTTTTCTAGCATATTTCCTCAAGCAGAGATGTATGTATATAACCTAACCATTGTCAAAGGTTTATATGTAACCTAACAGATACCAAAAATCACAGAACACACCTCTTTATTAGGTTGAGGAGTATTAAAGAAAATATCCTGGAAATATGTTCCATTTTTCCAGAAATAAGGGAAAGGGGTAGCTTTATGATAATGGATGGGGGAAAAGATAAACAGCAATCATCAATTTCTTTTGTGGCACACAGACTGAATGCACCTTGATATACGATCCTTGACTAGACAGGTGCTACCGCTATGGAAATGCTGCAAAACTCATCACAAATTTTGGACAATCTATGAAGTGCCAGCTAATGGATAAAAAATACAGTCTATTTTATGAAGTCAACTTGTGTCAGACACTTCAGTTGTTCATAAGAGTGGCAGGAATCAATAATGGGCAGAAAATTCCAATCATCAAATAAACAGATAAAGCCTCCAATATCCAAGACTTAAGTGAATGTCTGCTGAGCAGCGTCTTCAAGCCTTTCAGTTATTTGGCTGGAACTGAATGACGATTAAAGAATCAGGACTTGTCATATTATTATTGTCATTTTATTATTCCTTTCTTAAGTTCAGAAAGTCTGTATTGAGGAAACATTTCTGGTGATGTCACATGTGTGTTTTCCTAATAATGCTAAGACATTTTGGATTTCTCCCATTAGTTGTGCTATTTATTCCTAGAGCTATATCTTGTCTCTCATGTATTCAGAACCACCTGGAAATGAAGTGTTACACCCAAGTGGTTTTCTCAGATAATTGAAGCTTGCAGATGGCTTCCCCAAACCCCATCTTCTGACATATAACCATGCTGTCTGGGAAACTTTCTAAGCAGTTTTGTAAGCTTCTCTGCTTTTTAAAGCAAAGAAAATAGAACAAAATCAACATCGTTCATTATTGTTCTGCTTGACAGTACAATCTCCCATCTAGTGCTCTTGGAGTCGGTTGCTGCTTTTAGAGCCACGTTCTTCAATAATATCCCCTTTACTTCTGTCCACCTACTCCTTGCCCAGATACACACTTTATTCGTTTTGTGGGTAAATTCTTAAGCTGAATGGGAAAAAAATTGGTGACACATAAGTAATAAATGTATATAAATGAAAAAGATATATGCTTTTTAAAAATGAGAATCATGGTTTTCATGAACTTCTTGACAGTTACTTTGGAAACACAGAGCCTGTTCTATAGCCTCATGTCAAGGGCTGTTCTCTAGAAAGTTGTTTGAGACACTTCCCTTTGGCATAAATACTTTGATGATTCACATGGATCTCTGCTCTAAAAATCTTGAATCTACACCTAGAGACTGAATCCATTGCAGACAGTGGGATCTTCTGGTCCATGAGAAGATGACATATTAAAAATGGTAGATCTACAGGGAGGCTCACATTATAATAGTGTATTGTTAGTCCTGTTTCAGTTTCAGCAACTGAGTTCTTGTGTTATGTCTCATAACAATTGCTGCTGTGTGACAAATTTTATTATTACTTTTCTTTTTTGGCACTAACTTTGGGTTTTTACCACACTTTGAACCCCATGTTCTAAATGGCCTTGGTATTTTCCTGAAGACTATGTACATGGCTGGATTCTAGTCTCTCTTTTCTACCATTGGACCTCTCTGGTACCAACTATATATCTATTTAAATATCTGTTTACCACCTCTCACCAAACTTTCCAAATTATTTTCTATCTAGATGCTGGAATATTTGCCCATTGGTTACATGATATCTCTCTGATGTTGATACCTAATTACTTGAGTTTACTTCTATTTGACTCTTGTCGACACCTTTTTTATATTATGAACTTCTACCCAGTAGAAGCATCATTATTTTCTGGCCCAACTTGTTAATAATTACTCTCTAGCACTGCCCCTACCTTTAGCTCTTGCTTTCATCAATTCAATAATAACTCCTTAATAGGTAGAATATTAACAGATCAATTTTTTCAATTTCATATATTCAAATGTCAGTGGTAAATTCCTGCTATGTAAACTATGTAATACTAAAAATTATAGTGGTTAAATCCATAGAGCTTGCCACTGTGTCACCTTCCTCTCTTTCCCTCTCTATAGTTAGAGACAAAGACACTTCACCTCAATACCCAGTCTATTCCAGCCATGTACAGTGAAGCACACATTTGTAATTCTACCTTTTGTTTCTTCAAAAGATAACTTCCCATATAAAGAATGAGTTGTTGGAAAATGCATGAACAATTTAGAAGATACTAGGTAAACACTGCACAATAGCCTCAAGCAGACATCCAAGTCTAGTAAGAGGGGAAATGTTTTGATTGTAATCTTCTCACCAAAAAAAAAAAACAAAGAAAAAGAAAAAAAAATAGATATTTACTGACAAATAAATACCTATGCTATTCAGCTTTCTTTTTATTTTTCCTTGAAAGGTTTTGAGATAAAATTTAAGATAAAGTATCCTCTGCATCAGTAGATTTTTCCTTCAGATAATATAT